TCCTTTGAGTTTGTTTCTAGAGATAAGCACAAATTGAAAAGAGGTGATATAAACATTTTTTTTATTATTCTTTGTAGAATATTTTGTATTTAAGGATGAGTGTGAGAAGGATTAAAAGTTGTTGTTAGATTGTTGTGGTGATGTGTTTGATACTTTTTTTTGTTTGCAAGTGTTGTAACATTTTTCTTTATTGCTATAACAAATACTAGAAAGCTACAAGATATTGGCTCACCTATTTACAAGTGTGAATTTTGTGGGGCTATGTTTTGGTATGATGAAAGAGTAGGTGAAGGGTAGAATGTTGCAAAACCAAAATTCACCATTTGTTGTCATCGGCATCACATCAAGATTCCATATCTTCAACAGTCTCCACTAGAACTTGATGAGTTGCTTGATTATGATGGTGGGGAGATGACAAACAATTTAAGAAAGCACATTAGAGCAATGAATACAACATTTGCATTTACATCACTTGGAGCTAAGGTTGATAAAGAAGTTACCAACAAGCCAGGCCCATGTTGTTTTAAAATATTCAAAGAAAATTGACACAAGATGGCATCTTTGCTATTGATTATTAGTGAGAAGCCAAAATTTACTCAATTGTATATTGTTGATACTACAAATGAGATAGAGAATAAAGCTGCCATATTTGATGATAACAATAGTGGCCAAAAGATTCTAAGAAAGGTCTTTGAAATTGTTAATGCCATGGTTGATCACCATAAGAAGTTGGTATGAGTTTTCAGGAATGCAAAAGACCTTATTGAAAAAAGATCTAACTCCCACTTCAGGCTATGCTTGCATGTAAAAAAGGAAGCAAATGGTTCTCAGTACTAACCACTTGACAGTTCTGGAGTTGCTAGCCTTATTATTGATGACGAAGCTAAATTGTCTAATGGTCATGATATAATTGTGGAGTATTAAATGGAAATCTTAAGAGAATTGATTGTGTTCATCCTAACTATATGCTTGTGCATTATCAACTTTTGTTCCCATATGAAGAGCATGGGTATCGAACAAATATGATGCTTCACATTAAACAAACAGAAAATGGTGCCTAGAGTGCATCCATGGCAACAAAGAAAAAAAGACAATTTTAAAGATTATAAACATTTATCTCCATCAATGTATTATTATTTTCAGCTTCAATAGAGAGTTAATGAATCATAGAGGCTACTCAAGGCTGGTAAGCTATTTCATTAGTTTGTTGTCGATACTTACATAATAGTGGAATACCTGAGGTTGCATTATATCAAGACTCATCAAGATGAACTTAGAGTTGAGGTTTATAAAGGATTGAGAGATGTTGTTAATTGTGGTGACACAAATGCTTCTAATTTGGGGAAAAAATAATTTTACCATCGAGCTTTACTAGTGGTCCTCAATACATGCAGCAAAATTATCAAGATGCAATGGCAGTGTGTAGGACATTTGGGAATCTTAATTTGTTTTTGACGTTCACATGTAATGCAAAATGGAAAGAGATAACTGAGGCAATTAATTTGATACTTGGTTAGCAAGCAGATGAAAGGCCAAATTTATGTGCCCATGTTTTTAAAATGAAAATAAATGCTTTGATAAAGTATCTAAAGTAGGAGAAATATTTTGGTTGAATTGTTGCGGGTCAGTCTTAAGAGGATTTTTTTAATATTATTTTGTGTGTTTTTTCATTTATTATTATTTTGAAGTTAGTTGACCTTGTAATCTATTACAAAAATTGTGCAACTTTGAGTATCTCTTATTTTTCTTTCTTAGTTAATTAAGAATCCAATTTATAGCTCCGTCCTTCCTTTGAGTTTTGTTGTTATGCAAACTGCATATCGTTCCTTCCTTGTCGCTTGAAATCTACTATTACGTACAAAAGCCAACAGTATTTGTCCCCATCCCATTCAATATTCCCAAGAACTTACCACCATCTATAAAAAGTTAAATCTTATTTTGGTCTCTTAATTATTATATGGATTTCTTATTTAATCTCTCAACTCTAAAAATTTTTGAGTTAGTCCTTACTATTTATCATTTTTACCTGATTTGATCCTTCCATTAAAAATCTCGTGACGTGACCTATTAATTTACGATTACATGATGACATGTCAAATATTAATATATGTGGAAGACAACATAACAAAAAATGATGACATGAAAAAAATAATAGTATAAAAAAATATTAATATGAAAAATAAAACTTTAAAAAAAAATTTATAATAGATTACAAGGATAGGTGAAGGAAAAGCAAGTAGGCATGAGAGATTCAGAATCCCATTAGCGACAGAAACGGAAGTTGAGGAGATATGTAGCGGCCCTGTTCATCCGGAGGATGTTGAGTCTTGGTTATGATGGAAGGATGAATCTATTCAAAACCAAGAAAGCTTAGAAGTCTGGTAACTGTATAAAATTTTGAATATTTTTGCTCTTCTGGTTCCTTTTGAAGTGTAGAAATATTGATTCATTCTTTCAAGAGAAATAAAATTCTGATAAGTCTTTCTTTCCATTTACTGGCCATTTTCTTGGACCAATGTCCTGCAGCTCCTGTTCTGGCTGTAGATTACATTCATGTAGTAGCACAAGTGCAAAAGGCTTAATTGCTGTTATTGTCAAGTTTTATCATTTTTCAGGGTTATTGAAATAATATAACAGACGATGTGTGTTAGTACTTTGTAAGAGTCACAGATAATCTAAAGATTAACCAAAGAAAGTGAAATTTGATGCCTGTACAATAGATACGTTAACCAATTAGCACATGTTACTGGGTGCCTTGGCAGCCTTAAAGAAATGAAAATAAAAGTTTTAACTCCGTAACTTTGTTTAAAATGATAATTGTATCAGTTTTAAAACCATTTCCATTCAATACTATTTCCAAGATGCATGTATGCATTCTGAAAAGAGAGTCCTGTCTTGCAATCCAATCCAAGTTGTAAAACAAAAACAGTTAGATAATAAGTTTTGTTTTATAGTCTAATACAGTTTGAGGGGCATTTGTTTATGCGTTTAGGAGGCAATAGCTGATAGATGTTGGCTCTAAACAGTTATTTAAAGGTGTTTGCGTAAGTTTTTTTTATCAATGAATGTGAATCAGCTAATAGCTACTGAAAATCTAAACGGCTACAAAAATGAACAGCTACAAAAGTTAATTGTTTGAGTTAAACACTGTTTTTATTTTTATTTTTTCACTTTTTTATTTGTACTAATATACCTTAATAATATTCCTAAGATCTCTACAACAACCTTTCACAACTAATCTACCCACTATTTCAAAATCTATGGCCTCCTGAAATTCACTTGGCGGGACTATATTCAAGCACCACCAACCCCTTCCCCATTTCTCCCTTTCCTTTAGATGTGATAAATTGCCTATGTTCAAAGAAAA